TTTTTGAGACAGGGTCTCACTCTATCACCCAGGCTGGAAGTACAGTGGCACGATCTCAGCTCGCTGCAACCTCTGCCCTCCTGGGTTCAAGTGATTCTCCTACTTCAGCCTCTTGAGCAGCTGGGGCTATAGGCGCATACCACCATGCCTGGCTACTTTTTGTATTTTTAGTAGAGGCGGGGTTTCACTAGTTGGCTAGGCTGGTCTCAAACTCCTGGCCTCAAATGATCCACCTGCCTTAGCCTCCCAAAGTGCTGGGATTACAGGCATGACCCACTGTGCGCGGCCTAATCATTTCTTAATAACCAGGATTCAAATGTGTTTCATATCTTGCAACAGTGATGTGTCTCTTAAATCTTTCAATTGGTAAGTTTCCCTCTGCTTCTTTTGCTGCTCTCTTGTAATATATTTGTTGAAACAACCAGACTGTTTGTCCTGTTACGTTTCCCAGAATCTGGATTTTGATGACAGCATTGCTGTGGTGATTTTAAATATATTCCTCTCTTCCTGTAAGGGGAGGTTAGATCTAGAGGCATGACTACATTCAGGTTTGAGGTTTTTTTTTTCCTTTTTTTTTTGTTTTTTTTTTGAGACAGGGTCTCATTCTTTTGCCCAGGCTGGAGTGCAGTGGTCTGATTATGGCTCACTGCAGACTTGAACTCCTGGACTCAAGTAATCCTCCTGCCGCAGTCTCCCAAGCAGCTGGGATTACAGGCGTGTGCACCACACCTTGCTAATTTTTGTATTTTTTGTAGAGACAGGGTTTCGCCATCTTGCCCAGGCTAGCAGGTTTGAGTTTTACGGCAAGAATACTTCTTTGGTAGTACATACTCCTATCAGGAAGCACACTATGTCTGATTGTCTTTCTTTTTTGGGATATCAGTGGCCATTGATGACTACTACATAGGACTACCCCTCCTTTAAATAGCTGAAAAAGAGTTTCTTTTGATCCTTGTACAAGATGGGGTTTCTGTCATAGTTTCAGATAAGGTTAGGTTGTTGGTCCCCTCTGCCAGATTTGTAAGAATTCTTTATTCCAGGCTTCTATAGTTTGGATGTTTGATCTCTCCAAATCTCATGTTGAAATTTGATCCCCAGTGTTGGAGATGGGGCTTAATGGAAGGTGTTTAGGTGATGGGGGTCAGATCTCTGATGAGTAGATTAATACTCCTTGGAATGGGGGGTGAGCTGTCACTTTATTAGTTCTTGCGAGAGCTGCTTAAAAAGAGTCTGGTGCCTCCCTCCCATCTTGCCTGCTTCCTCTCTTGCCATGGGATCTCTATGCACCAGCTCCCTTTTGCCTTCTGCTATGAGTGGAAGCAGTTTAAGGCCCTCACCAGAAGCAGATGCTGGCACCAGCCTGCATAACCATGAGCCAAATAAACTTTTCTTTAAAGTTACTCAGCCTCAGGTATTCCTTTATAGCAACACAAACACAAACAAACTAAGACAGCTGGATTTTTTTAAAAAATTGAGATGGCGGTTTCACTAGGTTGCCCAGGCTGGTGTTGAACTCTGGGGCTCAAGTGATCCTCCCACATTAGTCTCTTGAGTAGCTGGGACTACAGGCACGTGATACCACACCTGGCCAGACAGCTGGATTTTTTTTCAAAATAGAAGGTCAGTGATGATGAATTTAAAGCATTTGTATGTTCAAAACTGTCTTTATTCACTTCCCTTTTGGAAGATGGTTTGGTTGTGTTTTGAATTCTGATTCAAAGGTATTTTCCCTCAACCCTTTGAAGGTGATTCTCCATTATCTTTTTATATGCACTGTGGATAATGAGAGTTGACTGGTATCAATCTGATTCTCATTCTCTGGGATTTCAGTTCCAGCATATATTATACATTGTCTCTTCTCTTTGGTTATTTTGAGAATTTTTTTTTTTTTTTGTCTCTGACAGTCTTAAGTATCACTTTGGTATATCTAGGTTTCTTTGAAGATTTGATTACTTGTTGTACGTTGCTAAAAATCATTCCTTCCACTTTATGAGACCTCATAATCTAAGGATTCAAGTGTTTCTTTAGTTTTGGGAAATTACCAGCCATTATTTTTTCAAACATTCTCTCTCCTCCATTCTTTATTTTCTCCTTCCAGGTTGCCTAGAAAACTAGAAAAGTGTTGCAAATTCTGGCTCCTCCCTCAGGGTCACTTCTTTCCCCTCTCACTATGCTGTATTCAAGGCGACTTTCCCAGTTCATTTTCTCTGTTCATTCTTCAGCTGTCCCTCAGTGTATCTGTTGAGGTGGCTTTCTTTCTGTCTGCTTTCTTTTTTCAGAGCTGTATCTCAGTTTCAGATCCACTCAGAGTTTTGCATCAGGGCTTTCCATTTATTCATTTGTTTATTTATTTATTTGTGATGGAGTTTTCACTCTTGTTACCTAGGCTGGAGTACAGTGGCCCAATCTCGGCTTACTGCAACCTCTGCCTCCCAAGTTCAAATGATTCTCCTGCCTCAGCTTCCCAAGTAGCTGTGAATACAGGCACCCGCCACCACGTAGGCTAATTTTTCGTATTTAGTAGAGAGAGGGTTTCACTATGTTGGTCAGGCTAGTCTTGAACTCCTGACCTCAGGTGATTCACCCACCTCGGCCTCCCAAAGTGCTGGGATTAAAGAGGTGAGCCACCTCGCCCGGCCTATTCATTTATTTTAAAATCTCTTTTGTGGTGAGTAAAAATGGATTTGGTGAGAAAAAGAGAGATTTTAGTGTCTATTCAGGCCACCATTTTGAAAGTGGAAGTCTCTACTTGTTAAATTCTATTTTCTACTCCTTAGATTCTAATAGAAGCAATAATTAATTCTATAATCTTAATCTACAGTCAGAACAAATAGAATTTATAATTACATTTATGAATTTTGTATGTTATAGGCAGCTTCATTTTAAGTCTAGTTAATTGGCCCAAGGAAGATCTTGGGCCAATTACAGCTTACTGTTTGGACTTTGATGGAACATTGCATTTGGTCATTATTTGAACTAATCTTAAGAACATCCTCACCTGTGGTTGAGAGTGTTCCTGCCCGGGCTCCTGTTTTATAAAGTGGGGAGTGGTAAAGTGTTGGGCTTGGCTCATAATTTTGTTGTGGTTCAAAATGCACCACAGGCAGCATTGGATTCATCTGTCCGGGCAATGCGTCCTCTACCACCATTTCCTTATCATCCCATCGAGAAGCATCCATGAACATCCCATGAACAAGAACACCATCCTCAGGAGAGGGCAACTGAAAGATACCCACAAGTCTCAAAGTGAGAGGGGGAAAAGGAATCAGCAGGTATGAGTCACTTCCTATGTCCCACATCCTCACCAGGTAATTCTAAAAAACACTCTATACATTGCTGTTATTATTCACATCTTAGAGAGGTCAATCTTGAGGCTCTGAGAGGCAAAAAAATGTAATAATAATGTAATGACTTTTCCCCTTTTCATGGGAGGTGGAGGAGTACTGAGATTATCGTCTGTTATTTTTAGCAAGGGTTTTCAAGGATTTGGATGCCCTCCTAGAAGAGAGATTATATATCTGCAATAATATTTACAGAGTGCCCATGGAAAATTCCTTTTTGTTCTTTCTCTCTCTCTTTTTAAAATTATGCTTACTTTTAAATGTTTGTATTAAATAAGAAAGAGGGAGAGTGAGAAACCCTGCCCATCAGAGTCCTGTGATTGGATGTCTCCACCAGTGCATCTTTTTTTTTTTTTTTTTTTTTTTTTTTTTTTGCCAATTGTGGGTATCTGAATCATTCTTCCTCAAACCCTGAGTGGATTTGGCCAATTCTGGCCCCAGGTCTTTGGATAATTGGAGCCTCATGTCTGCAGCCAGAGGACTAAGCAGTTTGGATAATATGTAGTGCATTCTATAGTGAATAAAAGGATGGTAAACTAAATTCTTTTTAGCAGGTCTTTGCTTTTTGGTGTCCTAAACTTTCTGTTTCTTGGGTGCAGCAGGGTGGGCCTTCCTGTTTTTGGGCTGCCACATATGTTTATGCAGATTTGCCTGAAAACTATCCTGCTACCTACTGGGTGTCCATCATCTATCTGGGCATCCACCCAGAGGGAGCACCTTTTCCTATGCTGAGCCAAGGAGGCAAATGGGCTGACAGTGGTCTTGGCTATTTGTAACAGAGATAAAGCTGTTTAAACACATACCCTGTGTTTAGACCAGTAAATGTGCCTGTCACATGACACTGGCTGTTTCCTTTACACCGCACTACAGGCCTGTCTCCTGGTCTGTTGGTGGCAGACATTTGCTAGATGGGCCAGGAGACAGGCCAGCTAGACAGTCTGAGGTCTCCCCAGATCTCAGAGATTGCAAGGTATTCTCATGGCTCGGCACACATGACCCAAGCAGAGCCATGGTATGAACTGGGATGGGGTGGAGGGACAGAGCCCTGGTGGTCACTGTAAACTTCTGTCTGTCAGAATCAGCCTCTGTGGAAGATGGAGTGTGCTGAGCATGGACCAGGGCAGGCTGGTCCTGGAAGCTCCAGTGGGGGCTTTAATGTGGGTGTTGCTTTGCCTCCCTGGAGCCTCAAGTTTTCCTTACATGGGAAACTTGATACCCTTTTCTTAAGACAAGAAGGATCTTAAAATAATAAGAGGTGCAGACATGTCAACAATTGCTCCAGCACATACAGCTGGAGAAAGGCAGTGTCAGAATTCAAACTCAGGCTTGTCTAGTTTTTAAACCCTTGCTGTTAACTTCTTGCTATATTGATTCTGTAAGATGAAGAAGGTTACTAAAGGTAGCTAAAAAATAAAATAATATTGCTTTAAACGTATTTCTATAAATCAGACTAGTTTAGGCAGTTCCCATCTGGTCATTGCTAATTGGGGAGCTCATCTTGGAGGTGTGATTACTACCCTACCCTTCCTGCTCCTGCCGACGGGAGGTGGTGGCAGTGGGGCATGGGAGGGAGGTTGTCTGAAATCTTCAAGGACAGTGGGATAGAAGCTGCTTTGCCATAACAGCCAGGTGGACAATACCTCCATGTCCATGGGCAGTTCTTGTCCAAATTGCACTGTCTTGGCAGCTTCTATCACTGCAGCTTGATCCCGATAGGTGGGAATTATGTTGTATCTGAAACTTAGCTCATCTATAGGCAAATTGTATTTTCGAGCATGATTTTGAAGAGTTCCTGTAATTATGAAAATCAGAAAGCCGCGTTCAAAACAACACTGCTACTCCCCAGGCACTCCCCCTTCACACAAACCAGGCTGCCCTGGCATTAGAGAGCCTTCCCACTACAGAGAAAACCCAACTCTTAATATCTTCCTCTGAGTTAGTTCACAGGGTCAGGAAGCCTGTGGGTCATGTTGGGAGGTAAGGGCCCAAAGGATGGACAAGCTCTGGTCCTGGTTGGGAAGGGAGGGAAGAAGGCCAGTATGCAGTGCATTGCCCTAACATAAGGGAGACAAATGAGTGAGGCAGTTTCCGAGCCCAATCTCGCTAACTTTAGGATTTTGCCCAGCTTGTTTTATATAGGCTGTTTAATAGGTATTAAGAATGAGAGAGATGAAGGGCTTGGGTCATTAGCATTGAGTTGCTCACAGGCTCTAGCCCCTTCTGAAGGGGCTAGATTCCCCAAGGGCTGATGGAAGCACATCAAGAGAATTTCTCAGAGGGAGGGAAGCTGCTCACAGCTGGGGCCTGAGCAGGTGGACAGCAGATGACGCCCTTGAGCGTGGGTCACATGGGGAACTGAGGCACACTGTGTTCGTGGAGGCAGCAGTGCCTGCACTTACGTAACTTGAGAGGGGCAGGGATTAGGTTGCTGGGGAACATCTGCTATCTCTGTCATCTTTCCTCCGCCCCCCACAAGTGAGGAAGAGCAGGACCTTGTTAGATTGCCCTATGATCAATAGCCTCATTGTTAAAGCATTAGCAGCCATGTCATTTCCCCAGGACCTCAAAACCCTGTGCATGACAATCCATGGCCTTTCCTGTGGGGTTTTTCTAGGGGAAGTGCTGGTACCTGTTAGAAATCCTTGAGGAAAGAAGAAACCGGAGATCCAGTAGGACTTAGGCTGTCCTCTTTTGAGCCACAACTGAAGGAGAAACAAACTCATAATAAATGTTATTTCTGGGATGGAATTTGTTTTCTAAAGCAAAGTCCTATTTGGGGAGAGTTTCTCAGGAGGCAGAAACTAAAGCAGCCCTGAGTTAGTCACCACCCCCATTTCACTGCCTGCCCCGTTCCCCTTCCTGTTCTGCCAGCCTGATGACTGCGGACCCAGAGCCTGGTTATTGTGGGGTATGTGAGAGGGAGACAGCAGCAAAGTTATCTGGGGTTTGGACTCATATCTCAGTTGGTCTGTACCTCGCTGTGGGGTCCCATGAATTAGAGCTGAAACCCCAATTAATTAAAGTGGAACTAAAGTGGAATGTGATGATGAGTGCCTAGGGCAAACGATATTATAATCAGTATAAGATGTGTAAAGTGATGCCATTCTGGACATTTCTTTTTCTCTGGGCTCAGATTATCCATCAGTGACTGTGGATATCTTTAGCCAGTGCTTCTTAGGGACCTTAGGCCAACTATGCCATCAGACTCATCGAAACCCAGTGAAAGAAATTTTCTTACATCCACAAATGAGGTCCTCAGGATAAGGTCTTTGACCCACGACCCTAGTGGCTTCAGGGATGGGTAGGCTGTGTTGGACCACAGAGCGGGAACCTGGTTGTTGAGGAAACTGTTATACACTTTTTCCATTTCTTCAGACATCACTACGAATCCAGCGATGGCTTTGTTGAGTGTTTCCAGAGAAGTCTGAAAGAACAGAAAAGGGGTTGGTGGCTTTTGTAGATGTCATTATCCAGTGTCAGTGACACACATTCATGACAGCAGGTGCTGCCTTGCCCGGAGGTGCCACTTGCTGGGTTCTCTTCTCTGTGCACACTGTCTGCTTCCCAGACCCTCCAATATTTCATGCATTATTACAATATGTGACCGTTGTGGTGTAACACTTGAGGGTGGCAGTTGATAGTAGAGTCCAATGCGGTGGAAAGAAGGAAGCAGAAATGTCTCCTGAAGCCTGGAGAAGCGGCTGGGAGAAATGCCACTGTCCAGCACTCTTCCAGGTCAAAAGAGAAATAGGTCTGACTGTGATTTGGGAACCACAGAGTGTGAGGAGGAGGGGGAGATGGGGAGTGAGAACCACCTCATGCTACTGGTCATCTCTGCTCAGGGGGTTCCCCCAACCCCCAGAGTTAGTGCAGAAAGAGGAGATTCTTTTTTTTTTTTTTGAGATAGAGTCTTGCTCTGTCACCAGGCTGGAGTGCAGTGGTGTGATCTCAGATCACTGCAACCTCCACCTCCTGGGTTCAAGTGATTCTCCTGCCTCAGTGTGCCAAGTAGTTGGGATTACAGGCATGCACCACCCTGCCCAGATAATTTTTGTATTTTTAAAGGGGTTTTGCCATGTTGGCCAGGCTGGTCTCAAACTCCCGACCTTAGGAGATCCGCCCACCTTGACCTCCCAACAAGCTGGGATTGCAGGTGTGAGCCACCATGCCTGGCTGGAAAGGGGAGAGTCTTAGATGACACTAATCTTCTAGTTGGCATCAGATGGTCTCCTTGTACTGGAAACACCTCCTTAAAACATGTCTGGTAGCCTCTCCTCCTCTCACCAGAAGATGGAGGCAGGCAGTAGTCCTGGGAGACACTGGGCTGGAGTGGAGTACAGGGCGATGTTTGCCACCTGGCTAAAGACGAGCGAGTGCATATAGGTGGGTTATGGCCCTCACGGTCGCAGTGTTGTGAAAACTGCCATATACTGGGAAAATATAATAGGAAGATATTAGAGGCAAAATTTATGTTGACTAAGCAACCAAATAAGGACTGGGACCACATGCACAGCGTCTTAGGGACAGGCACTGTGTGGATAAAACAAGGCTACACATCCTTCCATTCTTTCATAGGTTTATTTGTTGGTTCCCTTCTCCCTGTACCTCTTTTCACAAGAGGCAGCGGTAGAAAAAAGAAGTGTTTTACTTAGATTTGTCCTTAGGATCTGAGGAACCATCTGCAGCAGAGTGCAGGAAAGAGGCCCTTAGCCAGAGCCAAGACTATCCTCCATGGTAGACCTGGAAATAGGAAGAAATAGCAGAAGACTCATCTAAAATCCAGAGAGAACACAAAAAATGATAGAGGTGGAGGGAACAGACTGCTGAGACCTTCAAGGTCTGCTTGAAATAGAAAGAGGTCATGTTGCAGTCGATTCTCCCAAAGGAGGCAGCCAACACACAGATGTATTAAATGGGAGAAAGAGTACTTCAAAGGCTTTCCTTTCCCTATGGCTCGGAAGCCTACACAGGGTGGCCTTGTCACTCTCAGGACCTGCCCTATCCCACAGTTCTGTCTGGAGGAGAGTGGGTTAGCCAGGATGGCATTCCTGGGTGCTGCTCCCTTCCCCTGGCTTTCGTAATGCCACTACAGTACTGTCTGGCTGTTCCCAAGGGGAAGGGAAGGTGAGGCTGGAAACAAAGCCAGGGCAAAGCAGGACCAGGCCTTGTGGTCTAGGACTCGAGGTCAGGTGAGGAAGGCCTCTGGCACAGGCACAGCATGCCATGGTGGGCACCTCCCGTCTGATGGGAATGCTTGGCTGTGGTTCCTGACGGCCCTGCAGGCCACCTGTCCCTGGGCTCCTCCCCTTACGCTTCCATTAGGTGAATTCCTCTGTTAGTGGTGGACTGGGGTTTGTCTGACCAGAAAAAGTGACCAAAGGAGACCTGAGAGTCACATTTGTTCACCTGTACATTAAAATATTCGTGGAAGATTTAGTATGCCAGTTACTAAGGAAACAAAGACGACGAATGTAACAGCTCCCTTGTTTTAAAGAAATTCTTTGTTAGAGTAGCCATACTCATAGGTGGGAAACTACAAAAAGTGTAATGAATACAGTGGTGGATACAGAGACCTGAGATGACAGGGCCTTGAGGATGGGACCCTAACTCATCTGGCAGTAGAGGGAAGGGCTGGTCTCCAGGAAGACATAATGGAGGAAGTGACATCTGGTCTTATCTTCAAGTGGGTGAAAATTCATGATGTGGAAAGGGCAAGACATGAGTAGCATCCATCTCCTGGTGTTCCTCAAAACAACAGCACTTCCTTAGTGTTAGCTGGGCACAGAGCACCCCATCTAGAGACTCCTTTCCCAGCCACCCTTGCAGCTGGGGTGTGGCCATGTGACCAAGTTTTGGCTAATGGGATATAAGAGGAAAAGATGTACACTACCACTGGATCACATTTTTATAAGGAAGCTGCTTTTCCTTGCTCTCTCTTTCCTACTTCCCACTGGCTGGCAAAAGGGGACAATTGGGGCAGCCACCTTAGACCCAGACACGGAAGTTGTCTTTTGAGACTGGAAGAGCCAACCTGTTTATCCCTGGATGAGCTCACAAAGCAGAATTAACTACCTGCCCTAGACAGAGCTCCCTCGGGACTGTTAGGGGAGAGTAAAGTGAATTTTTATCTTGTTTTGGACTATGTTATGGGGGTCTTTATCATAGTAGCTTAGTCTGTACCCCAATTCATTCAATATAGAAGGAAATAAGCCCTGACCCGGCAACCTGACCAGGAGACTGAGAGAGGAGAGAGACTTAGCTTGCTGACTTCGGTGCACACCTGACTAGATGCCACAGTCCCAAGGTGAAGACCACATACTCAGCTGATCCAGGGTCCACCTAACCAACAAGCCTAGGTATTGCCAGCCAAGCAGCCACATCCAGAGACTTTGCCTTTCTGATAGGGAACAGTAATGATCTTTAGCTGTAAAAGATCTCTCCCAGTTCTCCCCCAATCTCATCCCCAAGTCTTGACCTTGAAGTAGGTGTTTGGTTCCCTGATTAGCGGTAACACTTTTCCTGTTAGTGCTCAATATTTGCTAATAGTTATTCTTTTTCTCTTATCGAAGTTATGCACAGAGAAACTAGGAAGGCCTTTGACCGTCATTATCAATGCAAGGCAATGCAGAGAGAAACTATCTATGAACATAAAGCAGAAGATCAAACAGGTGTTTGCAAATTTTAGCGGCATTAAAATCATCCGGAGAGTTTATTTAAAATTCATATTCCCAGGCTCTGCTTCAAGAAATTCTAACTCAGTACGTCTTGAGTGGGATCAAGGAATCCACATGCTGAACACACCACAGGGGACTCTAATGCAGGCATTCTGTGGCCCGCACTGACAGATTCTGGTTTTCACGGTCTTGCTTAAAGACTATGTTATTAAATGCAAACTAGACATTAGGAACAAGCACTGAATTACTCTTAATTGAGTGCTTAGGTCTCTGATCAATTTCTAGTGAGTCAACAGAATCCAAGGGTGTAAGGATAAGGAGGAGACTGAGAATTTGTAATGTTACATATTCACTCCATTGTTATTAGAAAATGGGAGTACAGATTCATTAGAGAAGGATAAAATCATTTTTAGACTCATTGGACTTGAAGAGTTGTTAGTGTATCCAAATGGAAATGCCGAAGTGATAGGAACGGAAGAATTTCGTATCATACAATTCTCTACAAAGCTTTGATGCGCAATAGCAATGATGAAAGTAAGCTCTCATACGTGAATTAACTTCAGCAGATTGTTAAACCGGTCCACTTCCTGTCCAAGAACAGTGGTCAAGGAGTTCAGGCGTCCTTGAGGATCCTTGACGAAAAGGCCCTCAGAAGCACCCTCCATTTCCAGTTTTTCTGAAACATACACAATGATTCCTCAGGCTAGTCATCATTGATTTGTTCTCACAATATTGCTAAGGCAATGTGCTTATCTTAACATTTTAAAAAAGCCAGCTTTTCTCATTGTTTAAGCCAGACACATAGCATTTAAATGTGACATTTCTATAATTTAGAATGCTTTTGTGATTCACCTGTGTTTATATACAAGCAATCACAGAAAATTAAGCTTAAATTCATTTGTATCAGGACATATATATATATAAAGTGTATATATATACACATACACATATACTTTTTTTTCCTCAAACACTAAACCATTGCATTTCATTTCTTCCCTTAAAGCATGTTCCCCATGGGTATTTTCATCTTCCCAGCCAGTTTGAGCTATGTGGTCTACGGCAATGGGACAGGAGAAGTAGGTTCTTGTTGCTTAAGTGAGATCATAGAAAGACTGGCTGTGCTAATGTAGAAGGAGGACTGGAAAAAGGAAGGAGAAGCCTGCTCATTTTCATTCTGGTTGACTGTGGGGAGGAGGTGAGGGGTTGAGAGGGAAGAGGATGAAATGGAAGGTCAGTATGGCTCAGTGGTATCTGCAAGTTTGATGAGGGGTTTGAAAGGTTTCCAATGTGGAATGAGGGGGGTTGGCAGGAGGGCACAGGAAGGTGTGCCTGGCTTTGGCTGATTGGGAGGCAGAGCCCTGAAGGGTTCAGTGGCAAATGCTAGCAGGACAAAGCGGTTGCCTGGCAGATAAGGAACATTCCAGAGACTAGACGGTCCAGGGACCCTGAGTCTCCCCTTCTACCATACAAGTGTTTAAATCTCCCACTTCCCTGCTCACCTGCACTGAATAGAAAAGGTTGGGGGCAGGAGACTGAGAGAGAGAGAGAGACTTAGTGTTTATCCCATGTTACTGGGCATTATTTAAAGGGACTGATTGCATTATTAAACAGGCTCATGGTTCAAACTGGATGGAAAATGTAGCTCTTCTTTCTCCCTACAATCCACCAAATGCAGGCTCAGATGAAAATGATATGAGCTACGAAAGAGGAAGGAACGGCCTTTTCCTTGCGTATTTGCAAAAAGTATGTGTAAACAAACGACTATGACGTACATATATCAAATTCCTTCTTGACCACACACATTTGGCTGCTGGACAAAAATCCCTCAGCAGTGCCAACGAGTCTAATCCCTTGGGTCCACAGTGCTGGGTTACATGTCCCTGGTCTTCTCTTCCCACCATTCCTCTCAGGGCTATTTCAAACTCTCAATTCTTTTGCTGAGCCAATTGCTTTCCTGTCCCCTCAGTCTCAGCAGATGATCTGCTTAGCATTTCACAGTAAAAGTACAAGCTTTATGAAGCCTGGAGAGAAAAACCTCCTAGGTGTCAATGGGATTCTACCAAACAAGTGCACGGTCTCTGCAGCTATCCATTCATCTCTCCATCCTTTTCCCAACCAGCACTCCATCTTGTATTTATTGATCTTATATTTATTGACTGTTTGCTTCAACAACAGAATTCTCTAACCAAGCAGACATTCTCTTGAGGGCTTGCTTCTAGGAGGCAGATAACTGACTTCTGAAACCACAAGGCTCCTTTTATTCCAGGGGCTTAAGGGCACTGGCAAGATTCAGTTGCTGTTTTTTTCTGTCCCAATTTTCTTTTTCCTATAATGACATCTCTTCCAACCATGAATAACTAAGACATCTAAATCTCCTACTGATTAAGAAAAGTGTTAAAATAGATCTCTTGTGATCATTCAGGAAGACTCTTTCACTTATCAGAAAGCAAGGTGAAAGTAATTTAGCCATGTCTTCTAAATGGAGAAAAAATTGAAATGGATTCCAGAGCAGGACTGTCCAGTAGAGCTTTTAATGATGATGGAAGTGTTCTCTATCTGTACTGTCCAATGATTGCACTCGAAATGTGACTGGTGCAAATGAGGACATGAATTTTAAATTATATTAAATTTAAATTTAGGTAGCCATATGTGGCTAGGGGCTATTTTCTTGCACAGCACAGGTCTAGAGACAGTAGAATAACGAAATCAAGGGAAGCTCAGGAAAAAGTCTGGTTAAAGTTACGTTGAGCTGGAAACCAATTTCCTCCTAATGCTCCTGGCAGTTGAGATGCTGAGATGCTGTAAGCTTCTAGTCTATAAATGAAGAGCTCCATGTCAAAAGAGCTCTTTAGGTTAAAGAAAGTCTACATAATAAGCAGGTTTTGACATCTGTTTATCACTCAGTTCTCTGAGTGTATTCCTAAAATTCCTATTACATACAAATTCCTAGAATTATTTATTACCTGGAACTCTGGCCCGGACGGAAGCAACAAGTTCTTGAACAATTTCGTCATTGCTTTTTCCCTCTCCACCAGTAGATGACCTTGGCTGAACCTCAAGTATGGTGTTGATTAAAGTGTTGGTCTCTTTGTACTGTAATGGCAGTAAGAGACAGAACAGTGAAGACTCAAATTCTCAAAAAAAAAATTTGCAGCACATATAATTATTTACAAAAGTAAAGGCAGCTCTCTAAAACAATACTATTTATTTTCACTTTCTTTTATTGTGGTAAGAACAATTACATGAGATCTACCCTCTTAACAAATTTTAAGTGTGGAAGACAGTAATTATTGCTGACTACAGGTACAATGTTGCACAAAAGATTTCTAGCGCTGATTCATCTTGCTTGACTGCAACTTTATGCCTGTTGATTAGTAATTCCCCATTTCCCCCTCTCCCCAGCCCCTGGCAACTACCATTCTACTCTTTAATTCTATGAATTTGACTATTTTAGATAACTCCATAAAAGTTAAATCATGCAGTATTTGTCTTTTTGTGACTGGCCTAAAGAAATTTTATTTTCTATCTTGAAGGTAGAGTTGGTAAAATGTGGTCATTGGAAATGCCTAGTACATAGTTGTTACTGTCATACTAAAAATTTTTTTGTTGAGCAACGGTGTAAATGTACTTAATGGGCCGGGCCCAGTGGCTCATGCCTGTAATCCCAACACTTTGGGTGGTCGAGGCAGGAAGACTGCTTTAGCTCAAAAGGGATTGCTTTAGCCCAAGAGTTTGAGACCAGCATGGGCAACATGGTAAGTCTCTGTCCCTACAAAAAAAAAAAAAAAAAAATTAGCTGGGTGTGGTGGTGTGCACCTGTGGTCCTAGTTACTTGGGAGGCTGAATGGGGAATAGCTGGAGCCCAGGAGTTAGAAGCTGCGGTGAACTATGATCTCACCACTGCACTCTAGCCAGGGCAACAGAGGGAGGCCCTATTTCAAAAGGAAAGAAAAGAAAAATAAATACATAAATAAATGTACTCAATGCCACTGAACTGTATGCTTAAAAATGATTAAAATGTACATTTTCTGTTATATATATTTTACTACAATAAAGAATGGTTAAACATTTTTAAGTTGATCAGTTGAAAGAAATTATGAAAGTAAGGGAAAAATCATGAGAACACAGTTTCAGGTCATTCTTTTATTCAATTAACTTTTTTTTTAATTAGAAAAATATGGCTTATTACACAAAAATTTGAAGATAGAAAAATACAAAGAAAAAATACTCATGATACTTACTTTCCAGATATAATTACTTATAATGAAGTAATATTTAACTAAATAAACTATAGTTTACTTCAACTTGGACACTTTCTGTATAATAATTACTTATAATGAAGTAATATTTAACTAAATAAACTATAGTTTACTTCAACTTGGACACTTTCCGTATATATGTGCATATGGTTTGCAAAATTGAGCTAATAAATTTATGTAATATTAATTCATTTTCAATATTATGAGTCTTCTAGTATCACTGAAAAATCCTCATTAACCATGCTTTAAGTGACTAAGTGATAATTTAAGGGACAATGTGATACTAATTATGGTATAAATGCACCATAATTAATATGAATTACTTATCTATTTTTTGGAAATTTCTAGTTTTTTGATTTTATTAGACTTTTTTTTTGAGATGGAGTCTCACTCTGTTTCTCACGCTGGAGTGCAGTGGCGTGATCTTGGCTCACTGCAACCTCTGCCTCCAGGCTCAAGCGATTCTGTCTCAGCCTCCAAGTAGCTGGGATTACAGGCACCCGTTACAATGCCTGGCTAATTTTTACAGTCTTAGTAGAGACAGGGTTTCACCGTGTTGGCCAGGCTGGTCCTGAACGCCTAGCCTCAAGTGACTGACCTGCTTTGGCCTCCCAAAGTGCTGGGATTACAAGTGTGAGCCACCACGCCCAGCCGATCTTATTACACTTGGGGAATAGAATATGTTTGTATGAATTTCATCCACCATTTTTGAAATTCTTTAAATGATAGATTAAGTAGAGGCAATACTTTAAAACTGGGTATTACCATATTAATTTCTAAAAACATTATATCAATTTATATTTCCAACAATAGTGTATCATAAAGCCTGTCTTTCTATGTCTTTGCAAGAATTAATATTATTACTTAAACAAATGTTTCTAATTTAATAGATAAAATAGTTTCTCATTTTTTGCACTTCTTTAAGAATTTAAATCTTGAAAAATATGTTCATTGACCATCTATATTACTCCTTTATGAATTATTCATGTTTTTTGCACATCTTTGAATTTTAGCATTTTATTATTTATTAATTTATAAGATAATTCTATAATATGGAAAGCTAACTTTTCAGTTTTTGTTTCAAAAAAATTTTGATTTACCACTTGTCTTAATTTTTTAAAAAGCATTTTAGATTCAGAGGGTACGTGTGCAGGTTTGTTACACTGATGTGTTGCATGGTGCCAAGGTTTGGGCTTCTATTGAACTTCATCACCCAAGTGGTGAACATAGTATCTAACAGGTTGTTTTTCAACTCTTTTCTTCCTTCCTTTTCCTCCCTGTTGGAGTCCCCAGTGTCTATTGTTCCCATCTTTATGTCCATGTGTACCCAGTGTTTAGCTTCCACTTGTAAGTGAGAACATGCAGTATTTGGTTTTCTGTTTCTGCATTAATTCACTTTGGATAATGGCCTCCAGCTGCATCAATTTGCTGCAAAGAACATGATTTCATTCTTTTTTTTGTGACTGTGTAGTATTCCATGGTGTATATGTACCACATTTTCCTTGTCCAGCCCACTGTTGATGGGCACCTATGTTGATCCTATGTCTTTGCTATTGTGAATAGAACTGCAAACATATGAGTGCATGTGTTTTTTTTGGTAGAATGGTTTATTTTCCTTTGAGTTGATACCCAGTATGGGATTGCTGGGTTGAACATTACTTCTATTTTCAGTTTTTTGAGAAATCTCCAAACTGCTTTTTACAGGGGCCGAACTAATTTACAATCCCACCAACAGTGTATAAGCATTCTGTTTTCTCTATAACTTCACCAACATGTTATTTTTTGACTTTTTAATAATTGCCATTCTGGCTGGTGTGAGATAATATCTCATTGTGGTTTTGATTCACATTTCTCTGATTAGTGATGTTGAGCATTTTTTTCATGTTTGTTGGCTGCTTGTAGTTTTCTTTTCTTTCTTTCTTTTTTTTTTGAGACAAAGTTTCACTCTTGCTGCCTGGGCTGGAATGCAATGGCACGATCTTGGCTCACTGCAACCTCTGCCTCCCAAGTTCAAGCGATTCTCCTGCCTCAACCTCCCGAGTAGCTGGGATTACAGGCTTGTGCCACCACGCCTAGCTAGTTTTGTATTTTTAGTAGAGACAGGGTTTTTCTATGTTGTTTAGGCTGGTCTTGAACTCCCGACCTCAGGTGATCTGCCTGCCTCAACCTCCCAAAGTGCTGGAATTACAGGCATGAACCACCACGCCTGGTCGTCTTTCTTCTTCTTTTTTTTTTTGAGAAGTGTCTGTTTATGTGCTTTGCCCCCTTTTAATGGGGTTGTCTGTTTTTTGCTTGTTGGTTTCTTTAAGTTCCTTATAGATTTTGGATATTAGTCCTTTTGTCAGATGCATGCTTTGCACATATACTTTCCCATTTTGTAGGTTGTCTGTTTACCCTATTGATAGTTTCTGTTGCTGGGCAAAAGCTTTTTAGTTCAATTAGGTCACAATTGTCAATTTTTGTTTTTGTTGCATTTGCTTTTGAGGCCTTAGCCATAAATTATTTGCATAGGCTAATATCCTGGTATTTCCTAGGTTTTCTTCTAGGGTTTTAATAGTTTGAGGTATCACATTTAATTCTTTAATCCATCTTGCATTAATTTTTGTATATGACGAGTGGTAGGAGTTTAGTTTTATTCTTCTACATAAGGTTAGCCAGTTTTCTTAGTACCATTTATTGAATAGAGTGCTCTTTCCCCATTGTTTATTTTTGTCGACTTTGTTGAAGATCAAAGGTTGTAGGTATGTAACTTTATTGCTGGGTTCTCTACTCTGTTCCATTGGTCTATGTGTCTATTTTTTGTACCAGTACCATGCTGTTTTAGTTACTGTAGCCTTGTATAATGGCTCTGGCTTTGTTCTTTTTGCTTAGAATTGCTTTGATTATTCAAGCTCTTTTTTGGTTTCCTGTGAATTTTAGAATATTCTTTTCTAATTCTGTGAAAAATGATGTTGGTAGTTTGACAGAAATAGATTCAAATGTGTGATCGCTTTGGGCAGTGTGGGCATTTTTATAATATAGATTCTTCCAATCTGTGAGCATGAAATGTTTCTACGTGTGTCATCCATGATTTCTTTCAACAGTGTTTTGTAATTCTTGTAGAGATGTTTTACCTCCTTGGTTAGATGTATTCTTAGGTATTTTATTTTTCTTGTGGCAATTGTGAATGGCATTGTGTTCTTAATTTGGTCCTCAGCTTAAACATTATTGATGTATAGAAATGCTACTGATTTTTGTACATTGATTTTGTATCCTGGAACATTACTGAAGTAGTTTAGTAGGTCTAGTAGTCTTTTGGCAGAATCTTTGGGATTTTCTAGGTATAGAATCATACTGTCAGTGAAGAGAGATAATTTGACTTCCTCTTTTCCTATCTGGATGCATTTTATTTCTTTCTCTTGCCTGATTACTCTGGCTAGGACTTCCAGTACTATTAATATGTTGAACGGGAGTGGTAAGAGTGAACATCCTTGTCTTGTTCCAGTTCTTAGGGGAAATGCCTCCAATTTTTTCCTGTGAAGTATAATATTGGCTATGGGTTTGTCATAGATGGCTCTTATTACTTTGAGGTATGTTTCTTCGATGCCTAGTTTGTTGAAGGTTTTTACCATTAAAGGATGTTGGATTTTATTGAATGATTTTCCTGCATTGATTGAGATAATCCTATGGTTTTGTTTTTAATTCTGTTTATGCAGTGAATTACACTTATTGATTTGTATGTTGAACCATCGTTGCATCCCAAGAATAAAGCCCACTTGATTGTGGTGGATTATCCTTTTGGGGTGCTATTGGATTAGATTTCCCAGTATTTTGCTGAGGAGTTTTGAGTTTATG